CCCTGATTTGTAGTGTTTGCTGAGTTCTAAGGTGTAAATACTCCCACCAAGGCCAATTTCAAGCTACCAAATGACTCGCTGAACACAAAGTTGGGAAGAGATGCTACACAGTAGCACATTATTATGCAGTAGTTCCATCATGCAAATACAATACATAGAAATAACTTTATAAGTGTCGATAATAGTAAAATGTAGTAATAAGGAAGTAATGGTTTTGAGTTTTTCTTATCTTTGGTTTTCATAGAATTGGTTCGTAAGTTTATATCATTTAAGAATTGAGCAACTGCCTTGACAAATTCTTGGAAACTTAACAATTGGGTCTGACCAACCAATCCCAGCAGGCTTTTTCTGATCTAAGTGACCTTTCTCCTGTGTAAATGACTACTTTCACAATGCTTCTGGCTCTTAGGGGAAAAATCCCTGCATCCAGTTTCTGGAAAGCTGCTTTAATTTACTGGAGGCACTCAATAAAGCAAAGTCAGTAGAGGCAGTCATGATTCAAAGGGCAGACCCCCTGGGCAAAGTGTTGGGGAGGTTTTGGGCAGGTCTCACCACCCACATTGGCTTCCATGGCAATGGCCCAGCAAGCAGTGATGTTGCACCATGAGATGACATGTAAATTATACAATAGGGGTTCAATAAGTCATCCCCAAAATTCAACTTAAAGAGGATGTGATATGTATTCATTGTACGAGATACTATTTATTTATCCTATTCTCTTCATGAGGGTATAGGTAGAGAATGTAACTTTAGATCAGTAAGAAGAAATTTTCACGTTATTCTCGCCTTAGTAATACATTTTAGTGCCATTTACTGAGGTACACTGTCTTTGGTAATATACTAATTTATTCATTCACTCATTCCTTGCATATTTATTGGGTCCCTATGGCAGGCAAGGGGTAGTATTAGGCACGGTGTATTTAAAGAAAAGTAAACTGGCCTTATGATCTGGAGGTCACAGTCTAGTGGACAGATAAATATATACACAAATCACAATTTAACATACCAATTAATATTTTAGTACAGATGTAAACACAATTTTATGTTAGCAATAGAGCTGAAAAACAGGTTGATATATTTAATATGCTACTTCCTAAAAACATCGAGGGACTAAGTGTAAGGTCTTCTGAACAGGCTACACCACGGTCGAGTCATTGTGACCCCTGTGACCCACACGTACAGGCCTCCTGGAGTCACAAAGCCTGAAGCACCAGGAGAACCACTAAAGAAGAAGAAAGAGCTAGTTCCTGCCTTAACTGATTAACCTATCTTGTAACATTCCACCATTCGGTGGACTATGCACCTTGTGACATTCTTCCCCTGCCCAAAAAAACTGCCCCTAACTGTAACTTTCCACTACCTACCCAAAATATAAAACGAGTTCCACTCTCACCACCCTTTGCTGACTTCTTTCTCGGACTCAGCCCACTTGTACCCCAGTGAATATACAGCCTTGTTGCTCACACTAAGCCTGCTCAGGTGGTCTCTTATACAGATGTGCTTAACACTAAGTAATAAAGAAATATCCCAAGAGGAGCGTGATGAAGAAAGGACCCAATATTTCAGACTAATTGTATGCCCTGCACATAGTCCCTGTTCCTACCTCAGTAAAGCCCCACTGATGGTGGCTTCCGAGTTATTTAGTCAGCACCCTTTGTAGGAGGGGCTCTGTAGCAGTGTTCACTCCTCTGTACTCTGAGCTCACTGACACTCAGGTTATACCTAAATCATGGCACAGAGTTCCAACTCGCTAGCTCAAAAAATTAGGGTTATTTTGAAGAAACAGAGGGCTTTAATACAACAGTTCTGAAAAGCTAAGGATGCTGTATTTCCTTCTCATGGACTAGGACCATTATCTTTCTATTTTTCTTTGACTGCACCATTCTGTTCTCTCTCTGCTGGATGGAATTCTCATTTTACCTTACACATGGCCCATAAAGGCTGCCCTTGCCTCCTCTCTAGCTTTGTAACTCTCCTTTTGGCCTCTCCCACTCATTGCTAACTCTTAAAGGGTTAGGAGCTATATTTGTCTGTTTTCACACTGCTGATAAAGACATACCCAAGACTGGGCAATTTATAAAAGAAACTTAGTGGTCTTACAGTTTGCAACTATCCCTCAAAGTCTTAACTCATTTCAGCATTAACTCAAAAGTCCACAGTCCAAAGTCTCATCCGAGACAAAGCAAGACCCTTTTGCCTATGAGCCTGTAAAATCAAAAGCAAGTTAGTTACTTCCTAGATACAATGGGGGTACAGGCATTGGGTAAATACAGCCATTCCAAATAGGAGAAATTGGCCAAAACAAAGGGACTACAGGCCCTGGGTAAGTCTCAAATCCAGTGAGGCAGTCAAATCTTAAAGCTTCAAAATGATCTCTTTCGATTCCATGTCTCACATCCAGGTCATACTTATGTAAGAAATGGGATCCCATGGTCTTGGGCAGCTCTGTCCCTGTGACTTTGCAGGGCATAGCTTCCTTCCTGGCTGCTTTCATGGGCTGGAATTGAGTATCTGTGGCTTTTCCAGGTGCACGGTGCAAGCTGTTGGTGGATCTACCATTCTGGAGTCTGGAGGACAGTGGCCCTCTTCTCACAGTTCCACTAGGCAGTGCCCCAGTAGGGACTCTGTGTGGGGGCTCCAACTCCACATTTCCCTTCTGCACTGCTCTAGCAGAGATTCTCCATGAGGGACCCACCTCTGCATCAAACTTCTCCCTGGGCATCCAAGCATTTCCATACACTAAGGTTCCCAAATCTCAATTCTTGACTTCTGTGCATCCGTGGGCTCAATACCATGTGGAAGCTGCTGAGGTTTGGGGCTTGACCCCTCTGAAGCCACGGCTTGAGCTCCATGTTGTCCCCTTTCATCCATGGATGGAGTGTCTGGGAAGCAGGGTACCAAGTCCCTAGGCTGCAGACAAAACCATATTTTCCTCCTAGGCCTCCGAGCCTGTGATGGGAGGAGATACCATGAAGCCCTCTGACATGCGCTGGGGACATTTTCCTCATTGTCTTGGTAATTAACATTCGGCTCCTTGCTACTTATGCAAATTTCTGCAGCTGGCTTGAATTTCTCCTCAGAAAATGGTATATTTTTTTCTATGGCAGCGTCAGGCTGCAAATTTTCCCAACTTTTATACTCTGTTTCTCTTTTAAAACTGAGTGCTTTTAACAACACCCAAGTCACTTCTTGAATGCTTCGCTGCTTAGAAATTTCTTCTGCCAGATACCCTAAATCATCTCTCTCAAGTTCCAAGTTCCACAAGTCTCTAGGGCAGGGACAAAATTCTGCTAGTCTCTTGGCTAAAACAGCAAGAGTTTACTCCAGTTCCCAACAAGTTCTTCATCTCCATCTGAGACCACCTCAGCCTGGATTTCATTGTCTATATCATTATCAGCATTTTGGTCAAAGCCATTCAACAAGTCTCTAGGGAGTTTGAAACTTTCCTACATTTTTTGTCTTCTTCTGAGCCCTCCAAAATGTTCCAACCTCTGCCTGTTACTTAGTTCTAGAGTCGTTTCCACATTTTTGGGTATCTTTTCAGTAGCACCCCACTGTACTGGTACTAATTTACTGTATTAGTCCATTTTTGCACTGCTGATAAAGATATACCTGAGACTGGGCAATTTACAAAAGAAAGAGGTTTACTGGGCTTACAGTTCCACATGGCTGGGAAGGCCTCACAATCATGGTGGAAGGTGAATGGCATATCTCACATGGATAGCAGCAGGCAAAGAGACAGCTTGTACAGGGAAAGATCTGCCCCCATGATCCAATTACCTCCCACAGAGTCCCTCCCACAACATGTGGGAATTCACGATGAGATTTGGGTGGGGACACAGCCAAACCATATCAGAAGCTCACCACCAGCACTCAGCTGAGACAAGAGCTGGGGGAAAAAACACACTGGCCAGAGCACCGCTGCTTAGGACATGAGGGGATCTGGACAGGAATTCCCCAGAAGGAAGCATGGGTGGGTGGGCACCTTGAAATATGGCAGCAAGTTACTGGAAGTGCTTCTAGTTAGATGCCAAGCATGTAACAAACAGCCCATGTACTTGGCCTAGCTTCACTATTTGGTACTTGCATTCTCTGAACAAGTGACTGTTCTTCAGTGAGCTGTCAGGAAAGTGGGGTTGCAGTAATACTGGCTCTATCTACTTTTTCTAAGGACCACATTGAAAGTAAAAAACTTGGTAAAATGCTAGGAAGACAGCTAAGCATTGAACAAATATGATTCCTTTGGAGATTTATCTATGTACATTTTCAAAAATAGAGGCAATATGAGCAAGTTTAGAGGCAAAGCACAGAATAGCTTTCCTTAAAAATGGTGTGGAAGAGGAAGGCAAGACTGGGCAGAGCAGAGGCTAAAGAGGCTCTGCTTGGTTCCAGAGGCAGGTAGATAGTGTGTATGTAAAGGAAACCCCTCTCTTCCTGCTGCTTATTTGCAACTTCTCTGTTTCTTCCTGTAATCCCTTTCCTCCATCTGACCTAGAGACTTCTGGGAACAAGAACAACTGGAAGATGGGAACTTCTGAGGGCTCCTGCTCTCCTGCCCAGTCTTATCCTTCCCTGATGCAATACTTAGAGAGCCTATAACCCACATGAACAATGGTAAAGGAGAGATTTTAAAAATCAATGTCCTAAAATTTATTCCAACACACATTCTCCCTTCCCGGGTTAGTGATGACTTCGGAATCAAGTGGGGCTGGATCATCACTTTTTCCACCAAGGAAAGATTGTGAAAGTCAGGAGCCAACCCAATTTTTAGGACATTGAATTATTCCTGAAAAAAAAAAATGTTAGAAACCTTTGCTGACATAGAGGTTTTTTAATTGAGTGGTCATTCATCCTTATGTACTTGGATTTTCATCACTTATGATGGTCTTTGCTCCTCCAGATAATGAAGGGGAATGTGGAAGACAGAGTAGCAATGATTGCTACTGGGGTCTGTGGTCTGAGGCCATTAAGTGCTGCCGGGATGAAGGGCTGGAGCTCACCTGTTTAGAACAATGTGACCACATTGAGAGTCTGTGCAGATTCCAAGTAAGTCTTAATGCTCTTTTGATGGAATGCCAGTGCACGTCGATCCTGCAATTCAACAACTGTAAAACAAGAACCCACTGTGAGCCAGAAACTGTGCTCCTTATGGGGGATAGAAGGATAAACACAACCCACTCCTGGTCCTCGGAGAGAAGACAGTAAAGGAGAGAAGATGTGGGCACAGATTATTACAGTACAAGGCAGAGGGTGCTGAATGCTGAGCCAGGTGTCTTGGAGGTGCTGTGGGCATGGGCTAGGTGTCGATGGGGTACCATGAGGCAGGGAGAGGGCCCTGGAGCAGAAGGCTACAGTTGCAGCTGGAATCCTCCCTTTGGACAACTCTCTCTCTGAGCCACAGCTTCCTAATCTATAAAAAGAGATTAGTCATCAGTTCTTCATAGGTGATCTATGTGAGAACCCCTAACCTAGTCATCAGCGACAGAGTGGACATTCAGCAAATCTCTCTTTCCCTTGCTTCCTGAAGGAAGTAGCAATGGAGTAGGGGATCAACATGTTTTGGGAAGAATTTTGGTGCCATTAAATCCTACAGAAACGGCAAAATGCATTTGATGTAAGTGAACTCCAGATCAGATTAAAGTCTACCTTACATAGAGAAAGGGAGGACTGTGTGAGGAGTTTGCAGAGCGCGCTGTCTAGGACATCACTAAGGGAAGGCAGAGCTTGGGAACAAGCCAATATAAATGGCTGAACACCCAAACCCTCACAAGTCTCTAGCCTCCTGAAGGTCATATTTAAAAGTAAGCTGAAAGGAAACCTTTGTCGGGTCTGCGGACCCTCCTAGGCTGGCATTGATTTAATTCCCTTCTAAATGTATTTATTTTCCTCCACTCTTGGCTGCAAAGGGCTTTTAGTTTGGAGGTCTAAGAAAACACTTTGGTCCAACCTTCCTACTGGGCAACTAAATGAAGGCAGGAGATATAGGAGTTAGAAGGCAAAGTGCTAAGGGTGAAAGAAATTGGGAAGTTTAACAATAAGTCACTGATTTGGAGGCAATACTGTGTTTATTTGCAAAAGCTTATTCCCTATATAGTGGTCTTTTGTGAATATGTGCGTATATCAACGATATAACTTTGTCACTTGGCATTTTCTTTGCAGAAAGTCAGACTATTGTTAAAATTCCCTTTTCGGAAGCATCTCTTTCTATATTAAATGAGTTAGTGCAGATAGAATAGTTAGATTGATGGCTTTCCTAAGGTAAACACTAACCATTAACAGCCATTATCCTCATTTCTCTACACTCATGGAAACTTAACTTTGGAAAGGCTATGCCATCTCTCTCTAGCAATTCATTTTTTCTGATAGATGGATATCTAGTCCCTGCTTGATTACTTCCCACAACAGGTTGCTTACCAACTCACAGGAAAATCTAATTTAGTGTTAGACAGCATTTGATGACTCTGTGGCATAATCTCTAAAACAACAACTGTGAACATGTATGTGTCCATACATCTATCTGTCTCTCATGTGTCAATTTATCCATACGGTCTTCTATTTAAAAGACTTAAAATCAAAGGTATATTGGCATATATATCTGCTTCATAAGCTATATTACCAAGGGAAAAAAAAGTCAAGCATCAGCTATAAAGGAAAAAAATAATAATCATTTTTTTTTAGATCTTCCTATGTGTAAAAATCTTTGGTGAGATTTACAATCTCATTTAAAGTTGACAATTTTCGTGAAAATTGTGCAAGAATTTTACACATAGGAAGATCTAAAAAAAAAATGATTCTTCAGAATTCACTTTTCCTGAAATCTGTGGACTAAACAGCATGATCTCTGTTGGTCCCAGTCCAGTCCTCTGGTTTCAGAAGGAGGTAGAAGGAGCTGGCATGTGACACCCATATTTGTCCTTTGGTTCTCAGATAAAGATGTGCAGTATGAGGAAGCATCCTGGTTTCTCCTGCACTGGCCAATGAAACATTGCGGTGAGGCTGAGGGGAAGCAAAGGTCATCTGTCTTTGGCACAGTCATGGGCTGCCGTGGTCATCAGACTGACCCTCATTTACCACCACGGTTTTTCCCAGGTATGTAACTTTCCTATCTTGGGGAATCCTAATGGTGGAGGGATAATTTATGCAAAGCGAAGGAAATGCCTCTCCTTTATAATGGTTTGTGGTTAAGTAAAACGAATGTAAAATTATCTTGAAAATGTCAAACAATAAGTCACTAACCCAAATAAATAACTCCTTTTAGAAGAAAACCTGACTTCTGTAGATATTTCAGTTTTATAAAGGAAAAAGCCTATTATAATCAGAATGTCCAATCCCAAACCAATAATAGCATTTACTTTTTAACAGAGGTATCTATTTGTTTTACCTTCTGTTGTCAGACCACACTTAAAGGATTATCTTCTGTTCTCATTTTAAATTTATTTTAAAAATTTTTATTTCTTTATTTTTTTATTGTGCTCTTTGAAGTGTTTCACTTCGAAGGAATGGTGACAAAATGGAACATCATTAAAGGAGAACAATAAGAATATTAAAGAGATAAATGCAGCTTGGTGAACGTTTAAAAGCCACTAAAGTTATCTATCCCAAGAAGGACATTCACTGGGGGAGGAGGACACTCATGGAGGGAGGAAGAGGAGCAGGATAGCTGTGTTTGACCACAACTCACCATCATATAGAAGATGGAGTCAACACTGTTTGTGTTCTTGTTGAGCAAAACAAGTAGTACATAGAGGCTCCAGGAAGGTAGGCTTGGATCTAAATAAGAAGAGATTTTCCAACAAGAAGTGATGTTCTAAAATGCAATGGTCTGCCTTATAAAGTAGTAGATTTCCTAATTAAGGAAGTATTTAAGCAGAAACTAGTGATCATAAATGAGGAGTTTATAGATCAATGGTTCTCAAACTTTAGTATGACAAGAATCCCCCAAAGTCCTTGTTAAATCAGATTGTTAGTTCCAACTCCCCAAAATTCCAATTCAACGTGTGTGAAGTGGGTCCTCTGAATTTAATTTGCCTTTGCCTGAGTTCCCTGGTGCTGCTGCTGCTGCTACTGCTGGTCTGTGGATTAATAGTTTTCAACAGAGGTATCTATTAGCAGAGCCTTGGGCATAGCAAGGCTCTGCTAATATATAACGTAAAATTGGACCAGATGGACTCATTTTCCAATTTTGAGAGTCCATGATGATAATCATAGAAGAAACATAGTATGCTATATGGATTTGGGTATTACCAAAATGAACTTGCTCTGTGAAAATGTATATAAAATAACTTCATGTGTTTACTGTGGTAAATAAGATTTCTGTTAGTATCAGTTAATGTTGGTGTAACATAGAGCAGTTGTCTCCAATCTTTTTGGCACCAGGGACCAGTTTTGTGGAAGACAATTTTTCCACAGAGTGGGGTGGGGTGGGGATGATTTGGGGAAGATTCAAATGCATTACATTTATTGTGTACTTTATTTCTATTATTATTACATGGTAATATATAATGAAATGATTGTACAATTCGCCATCATGTAGAATCAGTGGGAGCCCTGAGCTTGTTTTCCTGCAACTAGATGGTCCCATCTCAAGGGATAGGAGAAAGTAACAGATCATTAGATATTAGATTCTCATAAGGAGCCTGCAACCTAGATCCTTCACATGCGCAGTTCACAATAGCATTTGGACTCCTATGAGAATCCAATGCCACCACTGATCTGATAGGAGGCAAAGCTCAGGCAGTAATGCAAGCAATGGGCAGTGGCTGTAAATACAGATGAAGCTTTGCTTGCTAGTCCACAACTCACCTCCTGCTGTGCGGCCCAGTTCCTAACAGGCCACAGACCAGTACCAGTCCATGGCCCACAGATTATGGATCCTTGACACAGAAGGACCAGTGTAAAAGAAGTTGAACATGGTACTATATATAAATTCTAGTAATAAAGTGGGTTTAATGTTAGACTGTACAAATGCCATGCAAAAGCTAAAGTAACCCTTGCATTTCCTGAATCTAAACCACTATTTTCCATTTATTTTCCTTAAATAGAGATTGAGAAATTCAAAGGCAAATATTTCCTCAGCAAGAAACGTACAATTTAGAGGGATTTATGGGAAAGAGAATCCTCATGGTTGACACTGGAAATTCTGGCTTTGATCTGGCTGTGGTGCTCAGCCACACTACAAAGCAAGCCTATTTTCTTACAGCTGTATCTTGTTGTTGTGGTAATCCTCCACCTGCATGTGCAGAGGCACAAAGTATAGGATAACCAAGATTCAGGGGTTATTTTTATGACTTCCCACTGAAAACACGTATCTACACACAAGAGACAACAAAGGATTGAGTGTGTTGGCTGGGCCAAATGGATTCCCAGTAATCAGACCAGAAACATTCAGGACTTTTGCTCTCTGCCAAGATCTCTACTAGTTAACACACATGTATTGTAGGTGATTACGTGCTTATTTTAAAAAATTACGTTACAGGACTGCATGCATTTGTGATCCCATTTATGGTTTAAAAAAACCCTATATATCTAGGTTATATGTGCATATGAAATTTCAAAAAAGATTCAAGAAACTGTTAACAGTGGCTTCCTCTGGGCAAAAAGAATGGATATGCGTGTGTGTGTATGGGGGGGCGTTATATACATTTTGTTAACAGATCAAGAGAGAGAAATTACAGTATTTAACTAGTGAAACAAAATATTCAGCAACTTTGATAATTAATTCAGACCATCACTCTGCTACTCCTAATGACAAGGTTTAGAAATATAACTACAACTGACAAAGAAGATTTAGGGAGATTTAGAGTGATCTAGATAGGTGGTTTAAGTACTGCAAATTTTCCAAACTGTTATTTGACAATGCATTGACTTTGACGTCTCTGAACAATTTGTGAACATGTAGTTGTGTTCATTTAATATGGTTAACAAGGGGTACATAGATCAGCTGTTGGATATGTGCTAAGCAATTTCACAATAATTGAGTTGTATCAGGGGAGCTAAGACACCAAGGTAATTTACCTAAATCAAGGGTCAGTTTTGTCAATGTGCAAGTCCGCCCTCTGCTGGCCATTCTGGGAAAATCACAGCTATTTTACAGCAACTGTAGTTATCTCTGACGATGGTCCAGATCATTCTTTCATTTCAAGAGTACTTATTAGTCACCTACTGTGTGCCAGGTACATTATCATACATGATACAAGTGTCTGTTGTATGATTCTCTTTACTTTTTTGCATGTGTAAAATATTTTATCGCTAAAAATATCCAATATAAAGAAGCAAAAAAGTCTGAAAAATAATAGGACAAATAAAATTTAATATTATTTTAAAGAAATTCTGATAGTAGTTCTTTGAGCCAATTAAATGAAGTTAAATTCCTGTAATCAATAAAATAGCATCTTAAACTTGGCATTGCTGAAGAAATTATTTAGTTCAACCGCCATATTTTACAGCCAAGAAAACTGAGGGTCCAAGACATTAATAGCTAGTGTAAAGGAAGGCAGGAAATTACTTAAAAGGCTAGTACTAAAATCGACATCTCCTTCCTAGAAGATCTGCTTACATTTCAACCCAAGAATAAAAGAAATAATCAACTTCTTTTTTCTTTTTATATATGTAAGCAATGATCACTGACTTGACAAAGGATATGCACAGGAATTAATTTAAATGGTTGTGTGGAGACATTTATTTAGGGTTCATTCATATAGAAGCAAATTGCTTAAGCCAGAAATTGGATGAGGATACTAGAGATTGAACTGAGAAGTAAAAGTGAGGGAAGCTGATCCCAGCCCTCTGCAAGATTTAAAATTTAGGATCCTGAACTTGGAAATGGTTATGCTAATTAAGGACTGAAGAGTAGCAGAGTTTAGAAAATCAAGAAGGTTAGAGAGCCCAGGAGCACCAGGCACTGCTGGGGATTAGACAGGTAAAGGACAAAGTACCTGATCTTGTGAAGCCTATAGATTAGCAGGAAAAGTATATAGTCACACCACCATAGATTGTAAAGTGTTAGTTTTCCAGGTCTTTTTTTTTTTTTTTTTTTTTTTTTTGAGACGAAGTCTCCTTCTGTCACCCAGGCTGGAGTGCAGTGGCACGATCTCAGCTCACTGCAAGCTCCGCCTCCCGGGTTCACGCCATTCTCCTGCCTCAGCCTCCCCAGTAGCTAGGACTACAGGCGCCCGCCACCACGACTGGCTAATTTTTTTTTTTTTTTAGTAGAGATGGGGTTTCACCATGTTAGCCAGGATGGTCTCGATCTTCTGACCTCATGATCCACCCGCCTCTGCCTCCTAAAGTGCTGGGATTACAGGCATGAGCTACCGCGCTTGGCCTCCAAGTCTTTTAAAAAGAGGAACACACACTAAAGTTTATGGAAGAGTTGAAGTTCCTCTTCTTCATGTCTTCTGCCAGTTCAGAGGCTAATAACTTCATAGGATTTCCAAAGCAGCAACGAGGCTCAGGGCATGCTGCAAAAAGCCAGCAACAGGAGGAGGTGATGAAGATACAGAGATGGACAGAAATTCTGGCTCATGCATATTTTCCAGTTCTGTACAATCTTTGAACAGTGATATGCTTGTTTTTACCAAATACACAACTTCTATGTTCTTTCTCCTGCCCTACACGCTCCCCCCAGCACCCCACTTTGAATATACTCTTACTTTATTGCAGGTGTTTCTTAGCACCAGACAGGAGACCTGGATATTGAACCATGAGTGAGATGAAGGCTATCCCATAGACATAGTCCTTTTCATTTGCTTTAATATCATCAAGAAGACCTTGATGGCATCTATGTTGAATAACTGGGCAGAGAATAAATTAAATTCAAGATTCAGAAAAGAGTGATGTCAACAAGATGGCTGACTAGAGATGCCTGGTGCTCATCCCCACAACCTTCACAAAAAAGAACAAGGCAACAAATAAACAGCTAAGATTCGACCGGAGTGTTAAAGGGAGAGCAATGGAGTGCAGCGTAGCAGGGTTGGGGGAGGGGCGTCTGTGGTGATTGGAAGGCCAGGAGGGCAATGTAGAGGTGCCCAGCCACTATAGCCTTGTCTTCCTCACCTGGACCAGCTCAGAGTCAGGAGGGACATCCCCTTGTGGAGAAAAGGTAATCAAAAAACCCTACCAGCCCTCACTGCCACCACAAACACCTACAGTGCTTATAATAGTAGAATCCCATAGTCCTCCCAACCCCAGAGCCCAGTTTTGGAAGCTGTCAGGAATTCACACAGATGCATTGCCCAGGACCAGGAGCACAAGGTGTCATTCCACACTTCCACCCACCACCGGTGAGCCAAGCTGTGGAACCATAGAGCCATCTTAAGACCAGAGTCACTACTGGAGTGTGCCCTGCTCACCTACACTTCCAGTCAGGGAAGTTGTCTGGCAGACTCACCTAGGGAGAACCCTCTATCGAGCTGGCCAAACTACTGCATGCCCTCCCTCAAGCAGAAGAGCCACTGAGGTGCTAAGCAGCTGACCAGACAGCCAGGCACCTATGTCTAGGGCTTGAGAAACATCCTGGTAGACTCACCCCCAGAAGCCATGGCCTCCAGGTCTGCTCAGTAGCCCAATACCCATGCCCAGGGCTTGAGAAATAGTCCAACAGGTCTGCTCCCAGTAGACATGCCCTTGGGCTGGCCAAGCAGTCATATGCCAGTGCCCAGGTTTGTGGGCCTTGCCTCAGAAGACTGTCACCCCAGGCCTGTTCTGTAGCCTTGCACTCATGGTCAGGAACTGAAAAAAAACCTTGTGGACTCACCCATGGCAGACACAACCCTAGAGAGGCCGAACAGCCATGCACCCACACTCTGAGCCACAAAAATAGCCAAGTAGTCCCACTCCAGGTGAACACACCTCCAAGCCAGCACTACAGTCACATTCTCATAACCCTGGTCACAGTTATAGCCCTGTAGCTCCAACCGCAGTGAGCTAGACCCAGAGTTGGCTGACCCATTTTGTGCAAACATGCATCCCTAGCTTGAGAAACAGCTTGGCAAGTCCATCCCTGGCAAAGCCACATCACTTCCACCTCAAACTTTCGCAGCCTAGGACATCGATACATTCACAAACATCATTAGTGTAGATTAGAACTGAAGACACTGCATGGAGACTACATTACTGTATCCACTTAGAACCAAAACCAATGCACTCCACCCAACTGACACACCAAGACCCAGCCATATGAATAAGTGTTTCCCTATGAAGTTTATGCCATAAAATTGGAAGGGGTGACTGTTCCACCAGATGCAGAGAAATCAACTTAGAAACACATCAAACATGGAAAAGCAAGGAAAATAACACCTCCAAAGGAACACAGAAATTCTCTAGACCCAAATCATAAGGAAATATGAAATGACAAAAAAGTAATGTAAAATAATAATCTTACAGAAACTCAATGAGACACAAGAGATACAGATAGACGAT